TTTTTTTTTTTAACAAAATAATCCCATTCATTGCAAAAAGTGAACCTTTGAGGCCGGGGACCTCACAATTCAACCGGGATGAGAATCTGACAGCATCAGCCAGCTTAGCTTACAGGCCAACCGCCTGCAGGAAGTTCTGCACTATCAACTTCCCCGAAAATTGTCACAGAAACAGTAGGCTAAAAAATGTTACTACAAATGAGTGATGGAAAGAAACTGTTTTGGCACTCCGAAATAAATGAGGGAGCTAAATTAACGGGGAAACTCCTACTGGCGTGACCTGGCAGGGACTACAAACGGCCCGCCGGACACCTCTACCGGGAGGCAAGACTACTCAGTGCCCCTACAGTTCTAATCCTAGCCTATCCCATCACTCACCTAACGGCCCACCGCGGCCCTAAACAACCGAGTGACCAGGTTGGCTAACGACACTCTACCTAACTACCTAGGACTGTGAACCGAGTGCCCTGGTAACCACAATCCGGTAACAGGATGCCTGGCTAACCGACCCCAACAGCCACTTGGTTATGATCAGTCCCTTGGAGCTGTGGATGCCAGCGAGTTTGTTCCCTCGGGCCCAAGTCTTCAAAAACCACCAGATCTCACTTCTGGGGCCCTTGCCCTTCTTGGCCCTTTTCCTCCAGTCTATCAAAATCGCTTGTCTGATACCTCTTTTGACGTTAGACTTCAGTCCAGCGTCAGAAAAGGGGCGGTGCTCAAAGCGCGAGCGATTCCTGTCAGCCCAGATAACCGAACAAATGGTAGCCCTGACCACATGAGGGACGTATGCCCAGCCCCTTTTGCCCGTGTGTCCTCGTGGGGTGAAGCCCAGCAACACCCACCTCTCATCCCATGTTACCACGTCGGCCCCTAGCAGCTGCCAGTGATCCGCCCACCAAGCCCAGACTCTTTTTGAGGCAGGGCAGTCCCACCAGAGATGTCTGTTGACTCGAAGGGCCAGGTACAGCGCGTACAACCCAATGACACTTCTACCCCCCTGCCAGTCAGCCAGACCGCCGATGGAGTAACCAGCAAGGAAAGCATCCACAGGATAGAGGCATGCTTGCGGTTGGGGAGAAGCAGCAGGATACCCCATAGCTTCCCGAACTCATCTGCTGACGGAAAGAGATCTTCCATAAGCACAGTACTCCACCTAGCGATGGCCACTGTGGTGGGGGACCTTTTATTTTTATCTGCGAGTCGATAGGCCTCACCTACTGATATGTTGGCCAGGTTAAGACCACTCGGGGCCACTAACGAACGTTTGCCTCCTTTCCAACCCCATGCCAGTGGATCGATGGACAGCTCCTGCAGTGGTACTTTCCCAATCCACTGAGTGTAAGTCTGTGCCCCCTTGCCGTCCCTCCATTCTATCACTCGAGCCTGCGGGGGGTTATCCCACTGCTTGACTGTCTCTTCCCCCTCACAGGTGAGCAAATCATTTTGAGTGCAACCTTTCCACAGCTGCACCTTCCTGAAGCCTGACTGCATGAGTTCCCTGACTTTCCACACTGTGAGGTCTGAGTTCCTTGCGGCTTACCAGGTATCCAGAGGGTCAATCCCCTCCGGGCCCAGCAGGGCTAACCATTCCTCGRGGATTGATTGARTTAAAGCGAGCCAATTATCCTGGACATTCCACARACCTTGTAGGGAAGTSAGAAGATCAGAGMGTGGAAGCCAGGAGTTGGTGAGGCCCGACCACAGGTCCGCCACCCGCGCGATGCCTCTCCGGAGCCAGGCCCTGCCAAATGACCCAGGCTCTGTTCCTGCTGAGAACATCTGGCCTGTTGAGTCCCGGATAGCGGGGTTTTCAAATAGGCCCTGGCAAAGAACCTCCTCCTTGGTTACTGGCGGAGACCTCATGTCCGGCGGGAGGGCGGTCCATGCTCTCCTCACTGCCTCCCAGAACTCAGATTTGAGTTTATGTTTCATGAATGAGGGGAGGAAGAAGCATAGCCACACATCCGCTGGCCTTCGCAGTTTCCACTCTCTCATGAGGATCAGCTCAGCCAGGAAAATCCAATCTTCTTTCACTTCCGCCAACGCCACTCTAGACAGCCACATGTGCAGTTGAGCCTGATTCTTCCTGTGGGGGTCGACCAGCCCCAGGCCCCCTTGTTCTTTGGTAAACGAGATGAGTTCCCATGCCACCTTTGCAATAAAGCCCTCCTCCTTTCTTGCTCTGGGCTTCCACAGAAACCTAGCTGCCAGCCTTCTGATCTCTGACAGCGCCGCCTTCGAAATCTCTCTAACTGTTCCCACAAACCAAATGAGGGAAAACAGGGCGGTGTTGATGATCAGAGCCCTACCGAACAACGATAAATGCCACGCCGAACCCCACACCCTCAGTTTGGCTGAAATTCTCTGTTGAATGATAGAAACTTGAGCATCATTCATGATTTGCAGACTCACTAGCACTCCAAGGAACCGTTCCCATGTTTCTGAGTTCACCCGCTGCATACCCCATTCCACCTTCAGCGAGAACTGACTGGGGAGAATGTAGCAGGACTTATTCCAGTTCACGAGGGGTTCCGAAAGCTGAGAGTAGTCCATGAGCACCTTCTTGACCGCTTCAAGGGATTCGAGGAAGTTCTCCAAGAGCACGAAGAGGTCGTCAGCTAGAGCCTTCACCCTGCAGTCTTTGTTATCCGACACTCTGATCCCTCGGATGGATGAATGCTTCCTGATGCAATTGAGAGGGACCTCCAGCTGCAGCACGAAAAGGAGAGGCGCCAAGGGACAGCCCTGTCGAAGGGACCTGGAGAGGTGGAAGGACTGAGAGAGGTGACCATTGACTGACACTGAGGATGTCGCGGCACAGTACATTGAGATAATCCATCGGCAAAAACCCTCGCCGAACCCCATCTTCCGCAGCGTGGTAAGCACGAAAGCCCAACCCACCCGGTCATATGCCTTCTCTAAATCTAAGAGGAGGATAGCAGTGTCCCTGTTCTCTGCTTGGATGATGTCAATGGCTTCAATTGCTGTCAGGATGTTGACAAAGATGGATCTGTTCTGAACAAAGGCCCCCTGATCCCGCTCAACTAACCGAGGAAGGATATTACCAAGTCTCAGTGCCAGCGTTTTAGCAAGGATTTTATAGTCTACGTTAAGCACCGAAATGGGTCTATAGTTCCTCACATTGGCTTTATCTCCTTTCTTGAACATCAGGGAGATCACCCCATGGGTCATTGCCCTACCTAGACGCCCTCCGGACAGAACCCCGTTAAAAACTTCCACTAGCGCCAGGCCCACCGAGTCCCGGCACTTCCGGTAAAATTCTACTGTCAGCCCGTCCACCCCTGGACACTTACCTGAGGCCATCGCTTTTAGCATCTCTTGCACCTCCTCCATCGTAACCGGTCTGTCCAGGGAGAGGCGCTCTGTTGTGGTGAGTTTCACCTGTGTCTGTTCCCACATGTCAATTTCTTAAGACAAGTCAAAATGAGGAGAGTCCTGCTCCCGCCTTGTGGTGAGGATGTCCGCGTAGTAGAGGCGAGCGTGCTCCAGCATGCCTTCCGGGGATGAGGCCGCAACCGCGTTGTGGTCGAACGGGTAATCAAGCTATACCACTTGGTGGAAGGTTCTGCGGGGGAGGAGTTTTTGAAAAGTTTCCTTGGTGAGTCTGTCCTGTACCTCGATACCTTTTAGTCGAAGCGCCTCCTCCCAACGTAGGTGTCTATCCAACTAAACCTTCTCCCACTCGGCTAACCTCCTTTCCCGCTCCGATGCCCATACTAACTCAAAAATAGGATGTTGTTCCATTTTCCTCTCCGCCTCTTCCACTGCCTTCCTACAACTCTTTTCTTCTCTGTTCCTTGCTCTGGCCAGAATGCGGGAGAAAACATCCATCATTCCCGTGATTATGGCAATCCCACTGTCGAGCCAAACTGCAGGAGAGGGGAAGAAGGATCTGGCTGACTCCCAGTCCCGCATGTGCTCCGCTACCCACTTCACCACGCCCGGATCTTCGAGATTCTGATTGTTCAGTTTGAAGTAACCTTTACCTATTTCTGGTGCAGGTCCCAACAGTACTTCCAGCACCATCGACTTATGATAAGAGATTGGGTTGCCCTGCTGTTGCACAACCGTTATCTTCTGAGTGATGGAATCGCTGGAAAGGAAGTAGTCCAGTCTCCGTCTGATTACCTCTCCGCTTTCCTTGTGGATATGAGAGAACCACGTGAACCCTGCGTCCGTTGGGTTGAGCAGTCGAAAAGGGTCAGCAAGGGCTTGGTCTCTCAACAGTTTCAGCAGTGGGAGTGAATCTGTTCTACCTCGAGCGGGACCCCTCAGTCAATGCCTCGTCTAGCGAGACATTCCAGTCACCGGTGAGCAGGAGCTGATCTGCTGGCGGTATGGTGTTGGCCAGCTTATCAAAGAAGGTCGCATGAGCCGCTGGTTGCGATGGGGCATAGACGCCCAGTATCACCAAATCCTCCTTCTCCCATCTAAGACGTATCCACACCCACCGCCCCCACAGGTCTGATTCGGACTCTACCAGGTGTGCTTGCCACTTCTTGTGCAGCAAGATTGCGACTCCCCCACGGGTGCCCTGAGCGGTGGACCAGACTTGGGGGTCGTCCCACCACTTAGATACCTCCAGCAGCTTCGCCTCGTTCACCTTCGTTTCCTAGATGCAGAGACAGTCCACCTTCTCCTCGTGCATCTAGGTTTTGATCCTCTTCTTCTTCTCCCTCCCCGTTGTGTCTCCCAAACCCCTCACGTTCCAAGTCGCCAGTTTTACCTTAACCATCTGCAGGTACGTTCTCCGCTGGTAGTTGGATGCGGTTGGATTCTTGCATTTCATCTGCCCAACGGCCCCAGGCCGCTGGTGGAGACTGCAGCATAGAGCTCCTGTTTGAAGATTGCGACTGAGCGGACTGGGAGGCAGAACGCCACGGGTCTGCCAAGGCATTCATTAAGAAAGTTGAATGGAGGTTCTCCTTATCTAGCAGCTTGTCGTTCACTTTCAGAAGTAGTAGCGCAGAGACTTCCGGTGTTAGGGTGATCTCCTCCAGCTTTTGACTGTTACGCTCCCAGACTACTTCAAGTGGAAACCAACGTACACCGGCTTCTGTGAGAGAATCCGCAGTGCTCGGGTCGATCCTCGCATCAACTATGGGGAAGTAGAGCTTGTAGACCTTGTCCTGAAGAGGTACTACGCATCTCACCATCGAAGAACGGGGGACTACTCTAATGGGGAAAGACTCCCCAAAGAGACGCTTCGTTCTCGCCACTACTTCTAGTGGTGTGGGGGTCTTCTCTGTCTGTTCCGACGGGAGGTATGACCGATCATCCCCATCCGCCAACCCCAAAAAGTAAACTGCATATCTCGCCTTCGTGCATACTAGGGGAATCATGCGACGTTCCACCAGCAGTTGAGGGTCATACTGGGAAGAACTTTGCTTGCCATCCTCGTTCTCAGGCCTGGTGTTCTTGCTCCTGATGAAGGACTCCGCTCCCGCTCGGCGACGGGAGCCGGCCGAGCTGTTCGTGGAGGATTCAGATTTCTCTTCATAGAAAGGGTTAATCCCTGCCGCGAGTAATTCGTCACCCTGCAATTCGCTGCCCATTGCTACCTTCGAATTAGACGATCTGGAGAATTGAGGAGTCTCCCTTCTCCGCAAAGTGCTGTCCACTCTTCGATCCCCCCCATAAAACCTACCACTGGCATCCACCTGCCCTCCTCCTCGGAACAGAGATCCATACTCCACCGCTCCCCGAGGGTTGGGAGCTCTCCCGTTACCCTCTGGGTACGAATATCTCGGAGCCTCTTGCCCACACCCCTGCAGACCGAGTCCTTGCGCCAATCTATCGTAAACCAAACTGTGCGGTACAACAGTTTCCTCACCCTGTCTCATGTAGTGATTGTCTCTAAGAAATTCTAGATAGACTTGCTGCTGGATCGGTCTTTCGGCCAACGGTTGGAGCATTCTCCCTCCGGAGAGAGCTGGATCAAAGAGTGGATTGTGAGAATAAGGAAGAAAGCCCTGGGGAGCAGGAGGAGGGAGAGGAGGGGGTGGGTTGGGAGGAGGATAGTATCCTTGCCAATGACTATGAAGTGGCCAGGGAGGGACCATGGTGTTGGCCTGGATCTCTCCTGCCGCTCCCTGGATCTGTCCACTTGCATCTGGGAGCAGATGAGTTGGAAACGGCCGGTGTGGTAACTCTTGGTAGCCGCCCTGGGTGTGAGGAATTCCCTGCATCGCCAAAGCTCCCCCCCATTGTGGCTGGAAGCCCACCCCTTGACCAGCCTGCGAGTGGGCTCGTTGCTGAGCTGGGGGACGGACAGGTTGCAGAGGGCCGATATGAGGGTGGGCGGCTGACGATTGGTCCCTTGAAGGAAGTGTTGAAGCTTGATTCTCCAGGTCTCTCCTGTAAGGCGGGCGGTACGGTTGAGGAGCCGCTTGCCCAGCTGGAATGTTTGTAGCTGCTTGGCTTGCTTCCCTCTGCGACGCAGGTACTGCTTCCACTTGCTGACGAGGATGTGGTGCACTATTCCATTGCTTCCTTGGCCGCGCGTCAACCACATTCCTGGGGCAATTTTCCTCCATGTGAAAAAACCAGCGGCATTTGCGACACCAATCCGAAAACGGAGTGGCGATCTCCACCTTCCAAACCTCGCCTTTGGGGGACTCAATGGTCAGCGTATCATCTACCCAAAAACTGGCACTGGTATCCATGTCCAATTTGATGTTCATCAGCTTAGGACGACTCCTGTTCGCTTCTGGTGGGTGCATGTGTTTCACCCCACCGAAAAACCCCTCTGCTGTGCTTGGAAGATAGTACATGGCTTCAAGAGGAACCCGAAGTGCAGTGATCCAGAAGTTTACCTCTGCATCCTTAAACCGTAGCTCCTTCAGTTCCCCTTTCATCATCCAAGGCTTGAAGATGACTGGATAATCCACCCCCTTGAGGTTGAGATTAGATGAGCCTTTCTGCACCAGCCAAGTGGCCACCTCGACTGCCTTCGCCACGTATGAAATAACGTTCGGCCCCTCGAATTTAATCCTATCCCTCCTCACATCCGGACTGAACAGGCGGCGAGCAAACCAACCATCTTCATAAGCTCTCACCATATCCTCTTTCACTCCCCTAGCGAGATTTCTCGATTCCTCCTGAAAGATAAAGATCACCATGCGTTCCTTGAGCCACTTCTCCTTGATGGCATCTAGAGATTCATTAACTCTAAATCTTCTACCCCTCTCGTCTTCTACCACTTCCCCTAGGTCTGAAGCAAGATGAAAAACTCCGCCGTCGTAGCACTTTCCCAGCGAGAGTCGTACTCTGTCTTCCATCTCCTAAAAATTCGGAGGGAGGGGCGCTGTGTTCTGCCCCACGTCCTCCATGTTCACGAGACTTAGGACAACCCACGGTGAAGCAATTCACCTTCACGGAGTGAATGAGCGCAGAGCGGAAGATTAGAATCCAGTTGAGAAAAAAAAAACCTACGCGAGATTATGGCTCACGCGTGCTACTTCACCACTATGCTACGAGAGACAGCCGCTCCGAAGGGAGCCGGGCTAAGAGGGGCTAATAGGGTACCTCCATGAAGCCAACCCGCCAAGGCGGGACCCACGATGCGTGGGAAAGGAGACTTCTCGACATCCGTCGGTGATGGCGGAGCGGTCGAGGAGGAACAGGCGCAGGAAACAACCCCGCGGAAAGTTACCGCGATGAATTCCGCTACCCGCGCTGTTTCGGAGCGGAGCGCCTAGCGCAGGCCCGCCCAGCCGCAGCGCGCCCCAGCCTCCCCCCCAATAGGGGTCCGGACGATTTTGGGGGTCTTTTCTTTGCTACTGCCCTTTTTGCCCCTTGTTTTCAATAGTGACAAGTTCTTTTCTCTTTATTTTACTTGTTTGCTTCTACGGTAGCCTTCTTCCCAAGTTCGAACTCAGGTCTGTAGTACAACATTTCATGCCATGGGCATTACCGACTGTGCTATAGGTAAGACAGTGAGTAACAACAGTGAGTTCGAACCTTGGCCGGTGGATCAGGCCACGTTCTGCAGCAAAATATATTCTGGGTTTGGTGTTCCCTTGTGTTTTTCTTTCTTTTCCCTGTCTACCGTCGTCCCCGAACATAACTCACCCTGGGGCGCGGTCCCACTAGCAAAGAGGATTGGATAGAATGCCTGCATATGGACGTGTTGGTAGAGAGGTGCAGGAAATCGAGATTGAACTGCTTTTCTGCATCTCTGCATAAAAGACGTCCACATTCAGACATTCGATCCGATCCTCTTTGCTGATGGGACCTGGGCCCTGGAGTCCTTCCTCTCGGAATTGAGAATTTCAAAAAGAAAAAAAGGAAAACAAATACACGGGGAGCTAGAAAACCTAGAGATCCAACGCAAGGAACAATGGTTGGACTGGCTAAGGATCATAGGTATTTTGGGATTCTATAGAATGACGAAACTGACTTTCAGATCTCTCCTTAGCAAAAACACGAGACCAGTAATAAGAGAACTATCACACCCGTTCAACGAACACTGCCCGGTGACCACGACCACTAGGGAGATGTGCTCCTATGCTGTAGAATACTTTAAGGATATTCTTATGTCCCGAAACCCAGAAGCCAGCTTCGGCACGGATCTATCCACCACCAACTCAGATTTTTGGAACCGCTCTACCATAACCCTCTCACAACAGGTACGTCTGGACCTGGATAGACCCCTCACCCTGGAGGAACTCAGATTCGCAGCAGGGCAAATGACCCTTGGAAAGTGCCCAGGATTGGATGGGCTACCGGTAGAATTGTATGTAGCCACCTGGGACTCCATGGGGCCGTTCATTCTGCAAATCTACAACGGGTGTTTGGAAGGAAAAAGACTCCCGGAAAAGTGGACTAAGGGGATAATAACCCTTCTATACAAGAAGGGGGATAAGCGGGACGTGCGCAACTGGCGTCCGATATCTCTTCTCAACGTGGCATACAAAATATTAGCGAAGGCACTAGCTTTAAGACTAACCAGATATCTTTCACAGTTGATGGGGCCAAAACAAGGGGCATTCGTCCAAGGCCGGTCTATTTTTGACAATATCTTAACAACCATTCAAGCACTAGAAATCATCAGTGTGGAGAAAAGAGAGGTGGCGGTTATTCTCCTAGACCTAGAAAAAGCCTACGATAAATTCGGCTAGACCTTTGTGTACATCACCCTCAGGCGTGTGACGAACCACTTCCCGAACCCGTGCCATCTTTCGTACCCCTTCTTTTGCTTGTGTCATACCGACCCCCAGATAAACCCCGTTTTGATTTCTTGTTTCTTTTCTGAAAACTTTTTCAACTTCTGGGATCTGTTTTTCCTTTTTGTAAGTCGGGAAATACATGGGAATTTGCGTGCGCTGTAGCGAGCGCACTGGGAATTGGGCTCGGCAGTTGGGAATTCCGGGATAAGCAGAACTTCGACGTGTCCTTTTCGAGTGTGTGAATGTTCTTGGGCACGTCGGGGAAAACTCTCGGAATTTTGCGTGAATACGAATAGGCGTAGGACTTTTTTTTACCGCGTCGCTTTTTCACGCGCGGATATGGTGACTTCAATTTTGAATTTGGAGAGAAGCAAACCGTAACTGTTTTCGGTGCCTTTTTCTTTCTTTTTTTGTTGACGACGCCGCATATGCAAAAACTTTCTCCCCTCTGTCCCCCGCATCGCTCCCTCCTGCACCGCTCTTCCCTTCTCTCTCCCCGTAACAGTTTTTCTTCTCTCCCTCTCTCCCCCGCCTTGCTTTTTGCGCGCCCATTTCCCTTTCTTGATCATCTGAATCTTGGACCCGTCTTGCGCTACTTCTGGCGCCTTTTCTCTTCTCACTCTCTGGGTCTGGCGCACGACGCCCGGTCGATCCATCGATAACTCCCGCTCGCCAATCAGGTGTGCGGATCAATAGGACCTTCCTATTGCGCGGCGAATCTGGTTGGTTGAACCTTGAGTTCCGAGGGATCAACATGGCGTTCGTAGAGCACTCCTCTCAAAGTCTTCTCCTTCTGCTTCAAGTTCTCCTCTTACACCTCAGCTTTCCCGTCACCTTCTCTCCCTTCTATCTCCCCTGTCGCAACTATAAAACCCGCAAGCGCGTCCGCAAATCTCTCTCTTACGTTCTCGACTCCTAAGCCAGCTTCCGGGAAGCAGTGGCTAGGCAAAGTGGATTGATGCGAGCCGGAAAGTCCTGTCGGGATGACGATAGGCTGGCCTGTTGCGCGCTTGATCGCCACGACGGACTGTGGGATCCGGGCGAACCGTGTCGAGTTTACGACAGCGGGGTGACGATCGCAGTGGTGGGAGTTAGCACGCGACGGTCGGGATCGTCGGTGCGAGTATGAGGATCGATGATCGGAGTTGAGTGAGTGATTGGCCCGGGGCCATAGTGGAATTAACGACGAATGCACCTTTATTGCGGATTGTTATCCTTGGCGTGAGTGTACGGCGGTGACGCCGAACTTTTCTCTTTCCGGACCTTGTCATCTTCTATTTCGACTTTCTTTCCCTCGACTCTCTCTTTTTGAATGATGATGCGTCTGAATGATTGTCCCTCTCTTGAATAGGAATGAGTCGGCGTTCTGTTTTGTGTGAAAGAACTTCTTCCGGAACTCTTCCATTAGTTTCCTGGGTAATCCTCCTACGCAAGGACCCTATCTTCTTGTCTTATGAACGGTGGATGCGTGTGTAATGTGCGATGCGATCCATCTTTTCCTGTACATGTCTCATTTTCGCACCTTACACAGTGAATGCATGTATGGAAACGTGTGACTCTTTTCGTGTTGATTAGACGATTGTTGTCGGGATTTTGTTCGAGAATGCAAAAATGTTTAGATTTGTGGTTCCGAATGCACTGCGCATGCCATCTGCCTTATGCTGCACGACATCAGCAGCTAAACCACCAGGCGGCCTTGAGAAACAAGGCGCCAACGTTGTGTTGAACTGAGTCATGGATCGACCCCTTAGTCATATGCATGATCAAGCGTATGTGTGTTTTGCTCTCGCTCTTGTGTCAAAAGGATTGATTGAGGGTCGCGCAAATCGCTTCGGTTTTTAATGACGTCTCGATTGATTGACATGTGGACTGACAAGTACCCCTCGATTGGGCGCCAACCTCCCGTATCTGCCATCCCCACGCGGCCCTTTCCCTACAGCGAGGAAAGGACGCGTGTATGTGAGTGGGACATACGAGAAGCCGTCGCACAAATCGGCGGGCACTGTTACTTCCCTCCGGCCGACCGTTGTTCAGGGTTCGTAGACGCCGGATTTCTCATTATTGATACGCACTTTCCACCCTACTCGATATTGTTGCCGTTTAACGAGCTGATCGTCATTTCGTGGACGGCAGTGGCGCCCATTGGCCCCGCACTCAGTGTACGGAGTGCCAGCGTTTCGATCGCTACGAAGCGAAGGGCTTCCACTACCGAATACGGAGTGAGGACGAGCATAAGGAAAGAGCCACTTGGCTGAGACCATCCATGTTGGACTCGGAACTAACCAGCGAACGACGACGAGATCTGCTACGAAAACGAGACACAGGAAGCGTGACAGAGCCTTTCCGCTCTAAACGACGGGCTGTAGCCTGGTGGGAAGCCCGTCAGTACATTTTGGATTGAATTTGGATCTTTCTGTTTTCGCGCCATGTCCGCGCGCGCATTCCGCGACGGGCGAAATTAATCGACTTGCGTCATCGGACCTACACGGGGGATTTCAGTTCCATCTGTGTCCCCACACTCAATTTCCAAAAATCCTTCGCACACCCCATCTTGCTGTTTTTCTGGGCTTCTTTCCGCACGTCTCACACTCCGAACGAAAGACAGCACAGGGCGTGAGGTTGCGCGTCACAGGCGCATGAAGTTTGGGCATTCCTTCTGCAGATGGGTAGAAGCGATGTACTCGGGTGCAACAGCAGTGGTAAATGTGAACGGAAAGTTGTCCTCGGCATTCCCCTTGTCCCGCTCCCTGCGCCAAGGATGCCCCCTGGCACCGCTGCTCTTCGTAGTGCAATTAGAAGTCTTCCTCTACAACATTAGACACAACGAAACCATTAAGGGCTTGATTCTAAACTCCTCCTTACACTGGAAATGCAGTGCCATAGCCGATGACCTCACAGTTGCAAGTACAAACACAAGGGAGTCCCTGAACGAACTACACCAAGTGATTGACTTATATTGCGTCCTATCTTAAGCATCGTTGAACTGGGATAAATCGACCTTTCTCCTGCCTGAACCATTCCATCTCGCGGCCGACTGGGGTATGCAACAGGTACCGGTTCAAAACTCAGAAAGACTCCTGGGAATCCAGGTGTCGCTCTCAGATGCCTCAGCCACACAGGACTTACTGCTATCAATCAAAGTCATGAGCAGGATTGCTAGCTGGGAGA